GAGCAGCTGGGACTTCAAGGCTTTCTGTGCATTATTTTATTGAATCATCATATTAAAAAAAAATTAAATTGATCAGGAAATAAAGAGCTGGGGAGTGCTGGTTCAAGAAAACTAGGGAAAAAAAAACCTAAATTGTTTTTTCAGGAGAGGAGGAACGGGAAGGTCAAACTGAGGGATGTGAAGAGTGGGGTCCTGCAGACTCAGGATTTTTTCTCCCTGTGTTTTTTCCCTGAGCTGCTCCCTGTGTGGGTGTGGGCTCAGTGCCTGCTGGTTTTTGTCCCTGCAGGTTCTCCAGGTGGCCTCTCTGTCCAACGAAAGCCTGGAAGTGACCAAGGAGGAGCTGCCCAAGCTGCCAGGTGCCAGCCCCGATGGCAGGGACACAGGGGGAGCTGGGGGGCACTGCCAGGGCTAAATCAGGGGGGAAAAGGGAAAAATCAAACTTCACCTGTGGCCTGCAAGTAGCAACACTCCTAAAAAAGAAAGGTTTGCAAATAGGAAAAGCCTTGTGCTGGCAGCAATATAACCCACATCAAAAATTCTGCTTTATTGACTTCTTCAAGCCTTGAAAAAATCTATGAGCTTATTGCAGTGACTTTAGACAGTCACTGTGGTGAGAGAAGGATGAGAATCTTGATCTTTGATTAGAAGGCTGGATTTATTGATATATGATATATAATACATTATAACTATACTAAAAAGAATAGTATAGTTCTAATGTATTATATATCACAGACGGTCACTGTGGTGAGAGAAGGATGAGAATCTTGTTCTTTGATCAGAAGGCTTGATTTATTGATATAAGATATATAATACATTATAACTATACTAAAAAGAATAGTATAGTTCTAATGTATTATATATCACAGACGGTCACTGGGTGAGAGAAGGACGAGAATCTTGTTCTTTGATTAGAAGGCTGGATTTATTTATATATGATATATAATACTATATATCATTATAACTATATAATTATAGTTATATCATTATAACTATATAATTATAACTATACTAAAAAGAATAGTATAGTTATAATGTATTATATANCTTAGCAGGGGTTACTCCAAGGTTTTATTCTGAAGGAGCCCCTACACCTCAGGGGGCTCCTGTTGAGAGCCCCGGGAGAGGTGCCAAGGTTAGGGAGGTGGAAACCCAAAGTAGAGAACATTTCCTGACCAATAAGTGACCCTGAGGGATGGACATTTAGGACAGCCTATGGGGCAAGGCTTGGGGGGCTGACCCCTGGCTGATCACTCAATGTCCTGAACTGAAACTTCTAGATGGAGGTGACTGAGTGACTGACAGAGAGCCAGGGTGGGGATTTGGGGGTGATCTCAACAAAAGGATTACACAGGTAAAGAGAGGGGGGTACAATCTAACTGACAGAGAGCCAGGGTGAGGATTTGGGGATGATCTCAACAAAAGGATTACACAGGTAAAGAGAGGGGGGTACAATCTGGGGTAAACCATATGGGAAAAATACAAAACCAAAACTATTACAAAGTATAGAAACACACTTCAACAGTGCAGGAATCCCATGGGATATTTGGCCAGGGTGAGGGATGGTTTTGGGATCTGGGGGTTTTGGGGCTGCCCCAGCACTTACAGATGGTGGTGATGATGCTGCCATAGGTGAACTTGGTGCCATACAGGGAGGACAGAGCTGCCACGGCCTTGGCAGAAACCTCGTGCTGGGAATACAGGGAACAGGGAAAGATGAGCCAAAAAAAGGAAAAACCTCTGGGTACAGCTTTTTCTGGGTGCAACAAAGCTCCTCCCAGCTTCCCAAGGGGTGCAGGACCGAGCTGGCTCCTCCTTGGAGCAGCAGAAGAGCTCCACCCCATGCCAGCCCCTCAAAGCACATGGGCCTCACCAGTTCCTGCTCATCTGGTGCCGGGGTCTCGGTGTAGCCGTAGGGGTAGAGCAGGAGCTGGGAGTAGCTGTGGATGGAGACGAAAGCCTTGATGTTGCCATGGCTCTTCACAAAGTCCACGATGGATTTCACCTCGGGCTCCGAGTTGGGGTAGGGTCCGTGGTACGTCTCGGAGCAGGAGCTTGAGCTGGCTCCGGCATCTGTGGAGAAGAGGATGGTGAGAACACAGCGGGAATTTGGGGGATTCCAAGCCCAAGAGGTTTTCCCACCCCCCAGCTCCTTGGTGGTGATCAAGGGATGCTCCTGGGGCATCTCCTCCTAGAGATTTAGATTTGTAGGGTGACTTTCACTTGTCGCTGGGGGGCATCAAAGCTCAAACCAGGAGAGCAAATCCCACCTCTTCCCCAGGGGACATCAATGGATCTTTGAGCCAGAAACAGCTTTGGAGCCCCCAACTGGAGAGTGAAAAAGCTCCACAGGGGTAAGGGGGCAGCTCTGACCTCCAAAACCTGCGTCCCAGTTGCGGTTGGGGTCCACTCCGACACAGATGGCGCCCGCGTGCTTGGACCTGGTCTTGCGCCACATGCGGTTCTGGAAGGGCAGAGCCACCTCAGCTGGTGCCCAGGGCTGGTGGGCCCCTTCCCATCCCATGGAAACGGGGGTGAGGAGGCTTTGCCCTCTCAGGGATGTGTAACCCCCCCAGATCCCCCCCAGCCCCATCCAGAGCAGCAGTAGGAACCAGGGAGAGGAGATCCAGGGCAGTACCGTGCTGTGGGTGTAGGCAAAGCCATCTGGGTTGGTGACAATCTCCAGGAGGATGTCCATCGTCTCCAGGATGGAGGCCACTCCTTCGTTATTCGCGTGATCCTCGACAATCTAGAGAGGAGGGAGGTTTGGGGCTCCGTGTTCTCCCTGTGGGATCACCCACCTGGAGCCCACAGCCCCTGAGGGCCCTGCTGGGCTGTGTCAGTACCTTCTTGGCAAACCAGACGCCGCTGGCCTGTGTCACCCACTCGCGGGAGTGGATGCCGGTGTCGATCCAGATGGCCGGGCGGTTCGTGCCCCCTGTGCTGAACTGGGACAGCAGAGAGGGGGAGTTGGCTTTGTCCCTGTCACCACTTTCCCCCCCTGTGCATCACGATCCCCACGTCCTCACCTTGAGCACGTAGAGGGGACGGTTCTCGGTGGAGCGGCCAATCTCCAGCTTGCTCACCAGGTTGGGGTTCTCGGCCACCAGCATGTCCATGAAGTTGTAGATCTGGGAAGGAGAGATGTGGGGGTGACTCCCAGCTTACCCCCTGCCCAAGAGCAAACTTTTTCCCCCAAAATGCCCCAAATCTTGTGCTTTCCCACCTCATCTATGGTGTGGTAGGCCTCGTAGTTGAAGGTGGCGGTGTCGAGAGAGCGGTGGCGGCTGCTGCGGAGCATCTCCGCCTTCTCTTCATTCAGCAGGGCCTGTGGGACAGGGGTGGGGTGAGCCCCATTGCCACTGATGGGATCCCCCTGTCCCTCACCTCCCCTGCGGCCCTGCTGACCTGCACATCCTCGATCATGACGGAATAGGAGAGCCCAGAGGCCTCCAGGTGGACTTTGACGGCCTGCAGGCTGCGGAAGGGCACGCGGATGTCCACGGGCAGGCCGAGCTTGCGGGGCTCCAGCCAGAAATCCAGCTGGGTGGGGAAAAAGGACACGAGGGGTGAGATCCTGCCTCGGGATGCACCCCCAGCACCGGCCTGTCTTGCTTTTCACCGCTCGGTTCCCGTGATCCCACATCCAGCCCCATCCTTGCTTTGCTTATGGGGTGTGAAACGAAGGCCATGGGCTGGGGGGTGACCCCAAAATCCAGCCCCACAGCCAGTACCTGCAGATGCTCCAGGTCCTGCAGCTCCTGCACCTTCTGCAGCTCCTCATCGCTCTGGGGGACGACACGCAGCACCTGGTGCCTGTGGGGTCAGGCCGTGCTGAGGGGTGTGGGACGAGCTCCGGCCCCGTTAATCCGACCTAACCCCAGCCATCCATCCCCCCATTCCAGGGATTTCCCCTGAGCCTTTTCCCTGTGCTCCCTCAGGGCTGAACCAACTCCTTCTGCCCCACGCGGTGCCACCGTCCCCGTGCCAGCCCCTTACCCAAAGAAGGTCTCGGTGCAGGTGGCCGCTGCCACCAGGGCAGCCAGGAGCACGAGGAGCCTCATGGTCAGCAGGGACAGCCAGTCTCAGCTCCCAGCAGTGCCCTGGGCCCTCTTAAATCCCATGGGATGGTGGCTCCAGCCCGGCCCCCCCCAGCTGTCCCTTTTCCCAGGGCCCTGGGAAGGCTCTGGCTGCCACCAGCCAAGGTCAGGCCCTGCTGGCCCCATCCAGGCACTCCCAGTCCTGGCCAAACCTGTCCCAGCAACCAGCTGGGGCCCTGGTGAGTCAGCTGCCAGCAAGGTGAGACCGGGAGGTGCCAAAATCCCACAGCCCCCAGCGGCAGCTGAGGGGAGGGAAAGGATCAGTTTGGGTTGAGAATGCACAAAATGCAGATTTTTCACTTGGGGCTTGGTGAGCTGCATCCCTAAACCACAGCAATGGGGAAACTGGTTTAAAATTGGGCTGAGGGAAGTGGTGTAAAGCTTGGCCTAGGACAGAGGTCAGAGCAGGTGACAGTTGTCCCAGTAGCCAAAAATAAACAGCAAATACTCTGAGGGAACCCCATGTCCCTCCTTGTAGCTCCCTGGGAAAGGATGATCGAGCAAAGCTGCTCAAAACCCCACAAATTTGGGGTTGCTTGCCCAAAAAACCCTATCTCCTCCTCCCATGCTGGCTGTTGGCTCCAAAGGATGGGGACTTTGAGCCAAAGCCACGAGGGGAAAATCAACACCTGCAGGACTGGGAGTCCTTTTCCACCCTTTCTTTGGAGATTAGCATGAAAAATAATGAGCGTGCTTGAAACCACTGAATGTCCATGAGGGTTTATTGAGAGCAGGGAGCGCTGGGGGCGGTGCTGGGTCAGTATGGGTGCTCCAGGACGTGCACCATGATGTCCAGCAGCGCCGGCCACGTCTCGGTGGCAGTGGGGACGATCTGGGAGCTGGGCAGGAGGAACCCGTAGCGCCCCGAGTCCCTCAGCTCCAAGGTGAAGGAATATTTCACCCCGTTGTCGTAGGCCCAGTCGATGGTGGTGCCTCCTGCCATGTCTGCAGGGAGAGGAGCCCGGTGGGAGCCCGTTCCCCGGGGATTTGCTGCGGGGTGAGGGAGGGACACTCACAGATGGTGTTGGCGATGCTGCCGTAGGTGTATTTTGTCCCAAACACGGCGGCCAAGTCGCTCACGGCCTTCTTGGCCAGTTCATTCTGCAAAGGAACCACCAAAAGTGCTGGGATCTGGTGGATCACGGGGATCTAAAGTCCATCATTCCCTATCCCTTCTGCTCTACGTTTTCCCAAAACCCCTTAATTTTTGATGTTTGAGGTCCAGCTCACAACCTCCCTCCTCCAGAACCCAGGTGCAGGGGTTTGATATTCAGGTTGCATCTAACGAGAGGAGCAGGGGAGCTCCTGGGGTGGTGCCAGCCCCACGTTTTGGGGCCATCTCACCATTTCCTGGTGGTCGGGCGCGGGCGCCCTCCTGTATCCATAGGGGAAGAGCAGCATCTGGGAGTAGCTGTGGATGGAGATGACGGATTTGACGTTGCCGTGGGCGCGGATGAAATCCACGATGGCTCTCACTTCCCGCTCGGAGTGGGCGTGAGGGCCATGGTAGGTCTCGGAGCAGGGATTGCTGCTGGAGCCAGCACCTGGAGCAGGGGGAGGAGGAGATCCAGAGAGGATCCCTCAGGAAGGGTTTCCATCCCTGGGTTTCTCCGCTCTAACAGAAAGTTTTGATGTTTTGAGGCTCAAGCAATGCCTGGGTATGGGATCTGGTGGCCAAGGTCTCACCTCCAAACCCAGCATCCCAATTTCTGTTGGGATCCACTCCCACACAGCGGGATCCGGCGTTGATGGACCTGGTCTTGCGCCACAGGCGGTTCTAGGAGCGCACAGAGAGGACACAGGAACAGGGATGTGAGTCCCAACCCCTGCCCAGGCATCTCCAGGGATCTCCACTCACCGCCCCACGTGGAGGAACATCCCACCCCACCCAAAAACCATGGCTGGGAATCCATGCTGGGGACAGTGCTGGGACAAGATCCCCCCGTGGTGTCCCCGCACTCACGGAGCTGTGGGTGAAGGCAAAGCCATCAGGGTTGGTGACAATCTCCAGGAAGATGTCCATGCTGTCCAGGATGGCCGTGACAGAGGGGTCCTGCCCGTATTCCTTGGCGATCTGTGCGTGGAGAGGAGCAGGAGCTGCCGCGGTGCCCCTCGGAGACGAGGGGTGGGACAGATACAGGGTAAGAGTTGGGGTCCCACACCCCAGGTGGCCCCCAGGTGACCTTGTTGGCCGTCCAGACGCCGGTGGCTTGGGTGATCCATTCCCGCGCGTGGATGCCGGTGTCCAGCCAGATGGCCGGGCGGTTCGATCCCCCGGTGCTGAACTGTGCGGAACCACGGGATATCCCTGAGGCTGGAAAACCCTCCAGGATCGTGGAATCCACCCTGGGCCCCATCCCCACCTCATCCCCAGCCCAGAGCCCTGAGTGCCACCTCCAGGAGTTCCTGGGACACCTCCAGGGCTGGGCACCCCAAACCCCCCTGGGCATTCCCTGACCCCCTTTCCATGGGGAAATTGCTGCTGTGCCCACCCTGAGCTCCCCTGGCACAGCCTCTCACCCACCCTGAGGGCATTTTCAGGGCAAGGCTGCCCCAGGACCCACCTTCAGCACGTACAGGGGCCGCTGCTCGTAGCTCTGCCCCACCTGGACCTTGCTGAGCAGCCTGGGGTGATCCTCCACCAGGACATCCATCCACTCGTAGATCTGCAAGGAGGAGCTGCTGGCTCACCACGCTCAGCCTGGCTCTCACCTTTTGCTTTTGGGATGCAGCAGGCAGAGCTTCCCTGGGGAGGATCTGGTGCTCCNAATCACAGAGACACTTACTACATTTCACAGCAGCTGATAACAATTGTTATAATTGTTATAATTATTAATTATAATTGTTATAATTAATTAATTATAATTGTTATAATTGTTAATAACATTCTTCTTCTGGGGCTCTGCTTCCCAGAAGATGCACAAATGTAAAAGAAAAGATTTCTATGAAAAAATGTCTGCGACATGAGCTCTTGATTATTTTCAATAAGGATAAATTCTCTTGGTTAAGAGGATGAAGCTAAAGCTGTCACACTTTTCTGTCCAGGAATAGGAGCTGCTTTTACCTGGTGCAGCTCTGAGCTGTCCCTGTTGTCTCTGCAGGTGCTGGTGCTGCTGGGGATGATGGAGCAGGGACAAACGGACAGAGGAGCCCTGAGGGGACAGACAGCCCTGTGCTGTTCCTGGACAGCTCCGGGGCAGGGGAGTCCCTTCGCTCCACACTGCAGAGGTGCCTCACCCCAACCCCATCCCCTTCCTGGCTCACTGATGTTATCTGGGGGTGTTCAATGGCTGCTGAGGGGGTTTGTGCTGTGTTTGTCATTGTAGGGGACAGGGAGGGGGTCGGCAGGATTTCCTGGGGGAAAGCAGCAACCCAAGATTGGTGTCACCTGATGGTGGTGTGACAAGGAAATGTGTTTGTGGGATTCCATCCAGCCCCCAGGATTTTGGGGATAACACAGTGCTGTGGTCAGTGACAAGGAAATGTGTTTGTGGGATTTCATCCATCCATCCAGCCCCCAGGGTTTTGGGGGTAACACAGTGCAACAAGGAAATGTGTTTGTGGGATTTCATCCAGCCCCCAGCATTCCAGGATTTGGGGTTAACACAGTGCAACAAGGAAATGTGTTTGTGGGATTTCATCCAGCCCCCAGGATTTTGGGGATAACACAGTGCTGTGGTCAGTGACAAGGAAGCCTCACCCCAACCCCATCCCCTTCCTGGCTCACTGNTGCTTCCCTGGAGAACATGGGGTGCCTGGGGCTCTGTGTGAGCAGGGAAAGGCACATCCCAACATTTTTTGGAAAAGTAGGATGAATGGTGAGGGAAAAAGCTCTGAGACCCCCCCCCAACACCATCATAGCCCCCACCAGTCCCAAAGAACCCCCAAAGTGAAGCTTTGTCTTCCACAGGGTGGGAGGTTCCAGGAGTGGCCACGCTGGATGTGGAAGGTTTCCCGGTCTCCCATCTCAGCTAAAAGCTCCACCAAGGAGGAGGAATCGTGTCCAGGGAGGTCTCACCTGTCACCAAGAACTCACCACGACCTTCACCACATGGATGTGACCCCAGCAGGACAAAGGCAGTGCTCTGCAGGGAAAGGTACCTCATCTATGGTGTGGTAGGAGGCAAAATCAAACATCCTGGAGCTTCTCTTCACCCTCCTAGACCTCCTCATGCTTTCCTTTTCTTCATCCAATAATTCCTGGTTAGGAGGCAAAAAAAACCCCCCAAGATCAAAAAGGCTGGAAGGAGGAGGGGGTTGGATTTTTTTCCTTGATTTCCAACTTTTGGACTTTCTCTTAGGGCTGGGCTGCAGGAGCTCATCCTGTTTCTGTCACAGCCATTACCTGCACATCCTCAATCATGATGCTGTAGGAAAAATTATGGAAATCCAGGAATTTTTTGACTCCTTGGAGGCTGGGGAAGGGCACCCGCAGGTCCACGGGGTGGCCAAGGCGGTTGGGGTGACGCCAAAAATCCACCTGGGAGGAAGAAGTTGGGCTGAAAGGGGAAACTTGGCCCCATCCTGTGCTGGTACTCCATCCACTGAGCTCCCCAGCAGCTCCAGGGTCTCACAGGAATTTTCATGAAGGGTCTAAAAAGGTTTTTGGGCAAATTTTGGGGCACAGGTGGATGTCTGGGTAGGGATTTACAGCAATGTTCCAGCCCAAGTTGTTTGAGGGAGTATTTGTGGGATGTTCCCAGTTCGTACAAAACAGGAGCTCTGAGCTCAGGGAGCCCCAGGTTAAATTCACATTTCTATGGTTCTATGTTGTAGTGTGTTGTTAAGTTTCTTGTGTTATTCTCCTAATTTATTTCTTAATGCTTGCATTGGAAGATGTATGGAGAACACATTTCCTTCTCTTCCCTTGTGGTTGTATAGAATACTGCAATATTCTCTTCCTAATCATATTTTTTCCAGGTTTCAGGCTACTCTGTTTAGCTGTTGTGCATACAGAAACCTTTGTGTGCTTCAGATC